ATCTGTAATCTTGAGGTTAGATTTTTTTGGTGATGTCTAGTGCAGATCACAGTTCTGTTTTTGATTCTCTTGTTCTTGGTGAGCAGAAATTTGGGTTACTTTGTGTAATATGTAAAAAGGAGAGAAAATGAGAGTTAGGGGCTGAGGGTTTGAGTCGAGTGATTCTTTAGGTTATCTGATCTGTACTTGGTAAACTTTTGTTGGTTTCTAGTGGATTAGAGCGATAACCACTACGGTGAATGCTCAACGGGTGACTAGCCACTCTGTGGTGTACATCCGGGCCTAAGGACTAAAAATTGTTGTGTTGTGTTGTTCTTAATATTTGGTTATCCTTGGGATTGTTTAATTCCAACAAATATAATAAATAAAGTCATTTCCTCTAACTTTTAGAACATGTCAATAGCCCCTATAGTCTCAATTTTTTAAAACACATTTTATTAGTCACGTCCCTTATGAAATTCATAATTTTTATCAACTTTTCAATAATACATTTCATTTATTTTTTTTCAAAACCTATTAAAATATGTTTTTTAACAAAACGGGGAATAGACTTCAACTAATAATTTAACTATATATTTATTTATTTTCGTAGAGAGGAAGTACTACCTGTCTTCCTGGTGTCTTTTCTTCAAGGGGACCCAGTCAATGCCATAAAATGGTCAAATGGAAACCAAATGATCAAAGCAATAATTGCTTTTTCATTATAAAGTTTCTTGAAATGCCTATTAGTTTTTTTTTTTCTAATTACAGTGATCCAATTTCACTGTAATAACGCACATGACAGTGAAATGGATGGATCCTCGATAATCATTTTGGTTAAAAAAAAATTACGTAATTTTTAAAACATGCATTTATCATTTAGGGTGTGCGTGGTGCACATTAGAATGGAAAGAATGCATTTTTTTTTTGTGATGTGATGGTGAATATGTGGTTGAAAAAAAATGAAAAATAATTGATATGAGGGAAAATATTATTTTATTGAAGAATGTGTGATTGAAAATGAGTAGAAAAATGAGAATACGAATATGACTCAAACAGCTGCATAACTATTATTAAAAAATGAATAACGAATTAAAAAATTTACATATTTTAATTAATTATATATTGAGATACCATCTAATGGAATTCAATAAGTTTAAACAAAACTTCTAGAGAACCTTCTTTTTTTCTTCTCTACTTTCTTTTTTTCGAAAATTTTGCTAATTAACACTCCTAAGGAGTAAACCGTCATTTTCATATGGATAAAAACAAAATTATACTTCCTTCGATAGAGGCGGAGAAAAGAAAAAAAAGGAAAAAAGAGAATTTGGATGGAGAACTCCATGATTACAAAAAGTTAAAAAGGTCATAGTATTTGAGTTTGGGGGACAAAATCTTTGAGTTTGTGGAAGATCTATTTATGTCCTACTTTTCTACCTTTGCTTTAAGGTCAAGCAAAGGAGAAAAATGGAGAAATGGGTTGTATCCCTGACGGCCTCCATCGTCTCGTTTCTAGAGCATTGTGGAGGAGGTAAATCGTGGGATGTGCTCCAACAGATCAGGTTACGAGAGCTGTCATAATAGTGCCCACAAAAAGTCCAATTTCATATCTTGTAAGAGACAGGAATCGAACCCTCACACTGCGACTGTCAGCTCAATTGAGACTACCTCACTCATGTCCTTTACACCACCGAGATATGCACGTTGGGTGGGGGGGGGGGGGGGGAAAAATGGAGAAATGATCGCGCTTTGTGATAGTGTAAGGGCGTTTGGCATAATTTTTACTTGGAGAAGAGTTTCATCAAGAAACTACTTTAATTTTTGTTTAAAAATTATATTTTTTAAAAAATTATATTTCAAAAGTACTTTTAGAGAAAATCTCATTGGATCAGTTTCCATTAAAAATTCTTATAATTGAAGGAAACACTTTCATAAAATTAGTCAAAAGAGTTCAAAACAATGTTTGGATGTTAAAAGCTTCTTTTGACTTGAGTCTATACGTATAATAACAAATTGAGGGTGTTCAAACTAAATTTTTTGGAAGAATGTATTTTGGAATAGTAAATTGATGGAGAATGTGTAGTTGAAAAATAAGGAAAAATATTGATGTAATGAAAAATATTATTTTATTGAAAAATATGTGATTGAAAATGAGTAGAAGAATGATAATAAAAATTTTAATGTGACTCAAATAGGGGCTGAGTTTTGTTATTGATGCGTTTGACGGGGTGAGGACGACTCCATGAATTTATTTTTTCATAGTTTCGTACAATTCCTATATCTATTATAAAGTTCAAAAGAAATCTATTCTTAACAATCATGACATGTTTTGTTATTTTGAATGTAATCAATTTATAAAATTAAGACATGGTTCTTTATAAAAACAAGATTGAGAAATGTAAACGCATTTCAAAAGGTGAGTTTGTCACTCTTGTTCATTTACACAAGGAGAAAAGATTATCATAATAAACCCCTTGAAATGATTTGAACTTATTATTATCAAAATAATCTGAACTGTTTCAAAGACCCAACACGACCAATTGGATAGATCGAAAAAACAGCGATAACCGTTGCAACAAGAGCCGAGAATTCAAGATGAACATCTAGAATCGTGTTATTTTATAAGAACTAGATTAGATCGACCATCTTGTTTGATCACGACCAATCCAAAATTTGATTTTGTTACATAAAAAAACTAATAATTAAACCATATTA